CAAAACGGGAATTCTATGAGACGCTCAGTGCCACAATCCGCGATACCTCCAATCATGGTGGGATAATTCTGTCGGGAGACTTCAATGCGAGGTTACACCAGCAGCTTCCTTACGATTCTCCACACGTCGGGCCATGCGTTTTCGGCTGCCCCACTGCTCAGCCAGACGCGAATTTAGATCGCAATCTGCTCAAGGAGCTTTGCGGCACCCATGATTTGGTGGTAAACAATACATTAATCGACCACCTGGCAGACATGCAAATAACAAGTTACAGCGTTGGTTCCCGGCCTACAGATCGAGCCGTTCCAAAACATTTTGGGCAAATCGATGTTCTGGTCTGTTCAGCGGACAAACACGCAACTGTCTTGGACGTGAGGAGCCGGAGAGACGTACCTTTGGCGTCGCACCATGTCTTGCTGCTCTGCCGCGTTCATGTGGACATACCAAAAGATGCTCCGACAAAGAGACCCAAACCAGACTTGCAAGCGCTGCAACGGGCTCGCTATGAGGAAGACTTCGGCGAGGAGTCTACCGACAGGATGGCGGAGACGGACACCGAGCAGCGCACGCTGGATGAACTCAATGCACACATGGTGAGCGCATTCCGACGTGCAGGAGAAATTTGTTTGCCGACGTTGCCAGCAACCCGTCATCGCCCCTGGATCAGCAACGCTACCTTGGAGTTGATCACCTCACGGAGCGACGCCTGGAAGAACGGCGACTACACCAGGGAGAAGCAATTCAACGGCATGATAAAGGCGTTTGTGAAGGCAAACCAAAATAAATGGCTTGATCATCTACTCGCTTCTGGAGACTGGGCAGAGATCCGAAAGTTAAGGGATCCCGGGCAAAGCAGGGCCGCATGAGGGACGCGATTGGCGCACCCGTGGACAGCGACCAACGCGCGGACACACTGGCGGAGTATTTCTGTACTGTACGATGGGCTGCGCGGCCTGTGAGCGCAGTCGATGAACCGTCGCCAATTGGCCCAGACCTGCCAGTGGCGAGTGGCCCTATTCGGTCTGACGAGGTCTGCAGAACCGCGAAGAAGCTGAAGCGGAACAGAGCCTCAGGGGAAGACGACATTCCCGTTGAGTTCTGGAAAGCGATATGCAGGCCTGGCATGTCAGCGTGCGATTGGGTCACGAAGTTGTGCAGCAGGTGCTGGACTGACAAGAATGTTCCTGATGCCTGGCATGAGGCTATAGTCACCCCCCTGTTCAAGAACGGACACCCAACCGACAGCGCCAACCACTCTCTGCTGCCGATCGGATGCAAGTTGTACGCCATTGTGCTGCTCAGCCGCTTGCAGGAAGCTGGTGCGGAACGGAGAATCTGGGGCACCCAGTTCGGGTTCCGGTCTGGCCATGACACAAGTGACGCGCTGTTCATTGCCCGACGCTCGATCGAGAGCACTTGGGAAGCACGTCCAGGCGAACTTGTAATGTTGACTTTGGACTGGGCGAAGGCCTTCAACAGCGTGTCACCCAACAGCCTCGCGCAAACACTCGTCCGCTTCGGCGCGGCGCATGAGTCCGCAGAGGCCGTCCGAACAGTATACTCAGACCGGACTTTTCGAGTGCGTGACGCTGGGGCGACGTCCGTGTCGCGACGTCAAGCATTCGACAAAGATGTCCTCTGTCGCCGCTTTTGTTTTCAATCGTCATGACGGTTCTGATGAACGACGCTACCAAGGCGTTTCACGCGCACGAACTTGTCCAAAATTCGCCGGCCCAACGGGCCAGAGGCGTGCTAAGATCTCCGGTAACTGCTTAACAATTTTCTAGTTCGCGCGCGCGGGGCGGCCCCTGGGGGTCCCCGGACGAAAAGTACCCTGACCAGGTCCCTGGGCAACTCCCTGTCGGGGATGGTTCTGCTCCTGGGCGCCGCCCTCAGGGCCTCCCAAGAGCCCCGAGAAGAGCTCAGAGACCCCCAAGAGGCCCTCAATATGGTCCAACAGAGCTCCAAGACGCCATAATATCGCTCCAAAACGCCTAAGATGGCTCCCCGACGCACCAAGAAGCCTCCAAGAGCCCTGCCAAGAGGTCCCCAAGAGGCAAAATTCATCGATTTCCCTAAGGTTTTTGAAGGATTTTCGCATTCTCGCCTTTTCCGCTTCCCGACGCTCCAAGACGACCAAAGAGGCCCCAAAGATCGCCCCAAGACGGCCCAAAAGGCCCCCAAGAGGGCTTCAAAACGGCCCAAGAGCGCCCCATGACAGCCCAAGACGCCCCCAAGACGGCCCAAGAGGGCCCCAAGAACGGCCCCAGAGGGGGAACACGAAACAACATTTCGAGCCCTCAGTCCTAAGAGCCTCCCGGGAGGCCCCCAGAGGTCCCCAAGAGGCCCCCATGGGCCCCCAAGAGCCCCTCAGAAGGCCCCGAAGAAGCCACCAAGAGGCCCCCAAGCGGCCACAGGAAGCCCCCAAAACGCTGCCGCGAGCACACGGTATCCCAACGAACATCCAACGGGGCGCGCAGGCCTCGGGCAAACGGCAGACATGAGACTGTATGGGCCGGCGGAATGAGCGAAGCGATTAAATAATGGGATCCCTGTCAATGCACTTATTTGTGCAGATGATACGCTAGTAGTTGGAGTGCAAGATGAGTTCGTGGGCAAACTCACGCACGATATTCAACGAGCTGTATCAAACTACGGCCTCTCCTTCAACCGGGGCAATCTCGAAGCCATGCCGGATCGCTGCGAGACAGCCCTCGACAAGCCAGATGAGCAGCGCATCCCAGACAAGGAGAGCATGGTTTACCTGGGCGGTTTGAGGATTGATGGACGGAACGGTCCAGAACTGAGTCGCTGGCTCGGCATGGCAATTGCCGACTTTGAGACACTGTGTAAGGTGTGTAAGCATGCTCGGGTGACGCTGCGCAAGAAAGTGGCGATATTCGCGGACTGCATAATGTCGAAGCTGATGTACCGCACGCACACGCTCTGACTAGACAGCGCAGAGAGCAATACATGTGATGCGTTCCAAGCCCGATGCCTTCGGCGGCTTGCAGGTATTGGCCACTCTTTCTACAGCCGTGTCAGTAACGCCGATGTATTGCAACATTGTGGCGTGCAGAAGTTCAGCTCTGTGCCCATGCTCCAGCAGTTCGTCCTGCTGGGGCGGATCGCCCGCATGCCGAACGAACACCTGGTGCGAAGATGCGTGCTCCGCCCCGACTCGTTCGATCTCGTGCTGCCCGCGGCCCGGCGGAGGGGCAGGCCGCGCAACACCTGGAAGATAAAGGTACATGCGCTCGCGTGCGCCGCGGCCGGTGGCAGGGAACAACTGAATGAACTGTGGGGCAGTGATTTGGCAGGGGTCAGGGGTCGAATGGCAGACAGTGGCAAGAAATTTTCGTTGCAGGCGTGAGTGTGTTTCTTCGATGTTCAGGCCCCCCTCCGTCTGCTCCCCGCCTCCTTTCGCCTCGTCCTTTCCCTCTTCCCTCCTCTCGCGTGAACCGCCCAGCAATGGGGTAATGTTGCGCAATTTGTATCATTCATTTTAGGGGTGAATTGTAATAGCCCGCATGTTGGCCCAAATAGGCTTTCGCCATTCCGCGCCATGACTTGGTGTCGTGCTTTGCATGGCATCACTCTTGTTTCACCACTTTGCCAATGCACCTTTGACGTGCACGGCTCGCGATTTCGGCGCACCCCTCACACGTTTCGTGGTCCCATGGGGAGCTCCACCGAAGGCCCCAGTGACAGGGCCCGCATGCTGCCACCTCACCATTTCGGCACACCCCTCACACGCTTCGTGGCCCCACAGGGAGCTCCACCGAAGGCTCCATTGCTAGTGCCCGCATGCTGCCACCTCGCGATTTCGGCGCACCCCTCACACGTTTCGTGGCCGCATAGGGAACTCCACTGAAGGCCCTAGTAACAGGGCCCGCATGCCGCCACCTCGCCATTTTGGAACACCCCTCACATGCTTCGTGTTCCCATAGGGAGCTCCACCGAAGGCCCCAGTGACAGGGCCCGCATGCGGCCACCTCGCCATTTCGGCGCACCCCTCACACGTTTCGTGGCCCAATACGGAGCTCCACCGAAGGCCCCAGTGCCAGGGCCCGGCTGCCACCTCGCCATTTCGGCGCACCCCTCACACGTTTCGTGGCCCCACAGGGATCTCCGCCGAAAGCATCAATGGAAAAGGCCGCCTGCCGCCGACGGGCCACTTTGGCACACTCGTTAAACGTTTCGTGGCCGCATAGGAGGATCCACCGAAGATGGTACTCACAACTGCGGTGCATGTCACTCCTTTGGGTCCTTCGCCAAGCTAATTTTTTCAAAGCGGGGTCCCCGGAAGTCTCGGCCCTTTCCTCAGGGCCAGTTCTTTTGGGAAACGTAAGACTCGTGTTCGGGGGACTCGGGTTTGTCTGACGGGGCTATCACGAAAATGACGAGACATCGTCTGAAATTTGACGCGAGCTCCCGCTGCAAACATCCCGCGAAAATGAAACGTCAAAATCCAGGACGCGCTCGTCAAAAAAGCGTCGGCAAACCCGAGTTCCGGCGCACTCGAGTCTTACTCTTTCCCGATTGTTTGTGTTTTTTGACGGTCCCGGGGCCGGCGAGGGTCTCCTCCTCCTCCTCCTCCTCCTGCTCCTCCTCCAAAAATGCAGAAATACCTGCCGCCCTGATTTTTCCTCGAGTCGTTGCGTTGGAGGTCTGGGTCTTCCTCCCCTGAGACGCGCCGCAGGCGTCCTCGATACTCGCGGAGCAGCTCGTCTCGCAGGGCCTCCACGGTGGCCGCGGGCAGCACGCCCCGCAGCACGAGGTAGCCTTCGGCCTGGTAGGCCTCCCTGGACCCCTCGTGAGCATCGTTTAACCGATGTCCGTCCCCACTAGCATGGCCTTGGTCCCACTGGCCGAATTCCCCCCCTATGGATGGGGCTATGTATATCTCTGTCCTATATATATATATATATATATATACATATGTGTGTGTGTGCTTGTATGTTAGCATGCTCACTAGGCCTAGGGGGACCCATGGTTTTCAAATTTGACCGAAAGCTGGGGGCACCTTGGGCCAGAAGCACCTTCAGCAACCCCCGACAGTGGGGATGTGTATCGGTCAGCCGATGCCGACCTCGGGCAGCACCGGGCCGCTGCGCCCTGAGGGGCCGTGCAAGTAGGCCTCCGCGCGCGCGAAGCGGGTGCCGCCGAGCTGCCGCGGCCGGTCGCGCAGCCCCGCCTGTGGGCGGCGCTCTACTCACCGTCGCTCGGACGTCCATTTCGTGCGTTTGTCGGTATTTTGCTTTTTCCGCAAAGTGATCCAAGAGATGGCCCTCGCCGACAATACATGCAAACGTCCGAGCGATGCCACGTCTAGAAGGGTTACGTGGCAACTCATGGGGGCCTCGCATGCCATCTTGCTGGCTAATCGACGATGGCAGACGCCAACAGACGCGAATCGACGCTAGATCGAGGCATCGACGCTGCATCTTCGCTAAATCGACTAGCTCTCATCAATGACCAGACGCTGGCGCACGCTAATGCACTCTAAAAACTGGACGTCGAGGACATTCAAGTCTCCCATGAGTTGCGACCGAAGAAATCTGAAGAAGGTCGGGGCAGAGAGGCAAGATCGGCCAGCATCTCATCGGGAAATGGAAGATCGGATCGGGACGAATGCCGAAGCGGGCCGCACCGACACGGGGTCGGGAACGCATCGGATTGGCTGCGCCAGGATCCTCAAACATCACCATGCGAGCATCGTGACGCATCAAATCGCCAAAATACCAGAATCGATTCAGATCGAGCCGGCCAGGATCGATATCGGATCGGATGGATCGGCTCGAAATTGACCCTGGCTGCGTCGGCGAAGGGGTGGGCGGTCTCCTCCTCCGAGGCTCCTCCTCCAATGAGGCGCGGGGGGGGGTCCCCACGGAACGCAAGGGCAACAAAAGGGGGAGGTGACTGGCTCAGGGGGGGAAACGTCGACCTCGAATCGGCGATACATCGCCGATGGATCGCCGATGGGCCCGCGATACCGAATCCCAGCGTTCTCGTGCGGGGTAGGGCTATCCGACCCCTATCGAGGATCAATGCGCGAAGGGGGGGTCGACACATCCCCCACTGAGCCCATCCCCCCCTTCACATGGCCCCTGGCTTTCGGGTCACAGCTCGGCTCTCCGGCGGCCGCTCGGGACGAATCGGGCCCCCCCGACACGCTCTCGGCGAGGCGCAGTCGCTCGATGGCATCCCGAGGCTGAAACACCGTCGAGAGCCGACGACAGCGCCCGAAAACCTCACGCCTCGATCCTTCGGGGGCTCCACCACTGAAGGGGCCCTCGGACAAGCAAATAGATACACACACACACACAAATACGAGGATTCCTCATATTTTTCAAAATTCTATAGGTTTTTCTCTTCTTCCCACTTCCCATATTTTCCTATATTTTCCTGGGGATCGACGATTCATTGTGTCTGTGTCTTTTTTTCTCTCTCCTGAACCACCCCGACACCGATCCCTCCCTCAATTTTGTCCCCGAGATCGCCGCTGGCCTCCCACAGCCTGCGCAGGCCCACCGGGCCGGGCACGTGCCTGGCGCTGCCGTGCGCGGCCAGCGCGGCCAGCTCCTCACGGAGCAGGCCCAGACGGAGGCCGCGCACTTCGTGCGGACTTGCCACGCACGGGCTTGGCATCCCAGCAGGAGAGCCCAAGTCCAGACGGAGTAGGCCCAGACCTCGCCATCTCTCTCGGACGTCCGTTCCCGTGCAAATTTGTCGGCGTCCTGCAAGAATTTCTTCGCCAAATGGCCCCACATGCTCTTCAAATGGTCCTCGCCGAGAAAAAAAAAAACAACACGTCCGAGCGATGGCAAGGGACTCGGCATCCCATCAGGAAGCAGAAGCCGACTCCAGACGGAGCAGGCCAAGACGGAAGCCGAGCACTCCGTGCGGACTTCCTCCGCACGGACTTCCTTGGGCGTGGCTTAATGGGGGGGTCATACATTTTGGGCTCAGAAGCGATCCCCTTTCGCGCCCCTTTCGGGCCCCTCCGGAGCCCCCAGGGGGCTCGCTTAGGTACCGTTTGGGTACCTGTTCGGAACACCCTTTCCACCCCCCATTTCTGACCCCCCCAACTACGAGACGCCCAACTTTCAGCACCCTCCGAGGCACCGGCCCGAAGTGCACCAGGGCCAGCCCGGCGGCGGCGGCGCAACCCCACCTTGAGCAGGGACCGACCGTCCCAGTATTCCTATTGGCCTACCACGACGTGTTCCCAGAACCCAGACATGTTATAATAACAAAACCAAGGTTCTTAGAACATAAGCCCTATGTGCTAAAACACGACAGTCCCAGCCAGAAATGTTCTAAGAACATTTCGTGGAAACCACAAGGGGTTCTTAGAACATTCTTTGGTAGGCCTATAGGCTCGCCAGGACGCTTCGCCACTGCTTGACCACCTGGCGAGGCTGCGGCGCCCGCCCTCGGCGCCGGCGGGCGGCGCGCCCGGGGCGGGGCCGCGGCGCACGGCAGCGGCGGCCATGGGGACGGCGAGGGGCAACGGCGAGGGGGGGGGGACTACCTACCAGACCACCCCAACCCAACCCGAAGATCCGAATTTCACCCGAATTTCGGGTTGGGGGGGGTACGGGTTCCATGCGTTTTTCCTATGTTCCCTGGCCACCGCCCCCCTGGAAATGGAGGGCAGATTGAGGCCTTCGGGTTGGACTGGGGTGGTTTGGTGGGTGGGCGGGGCCGGCGGCTGCACGCAGGGAACGGCCTGTACACCGGCGGCGAGCCCCGGGGGGGGGGGGGGGCGAGAAGGGGCGGGCCTCCTCAGACGGAGGCTGGGAAGCCCCCCCGGCCTTCGGAGAAGTTTGCCTTCCCCGACGACGCGGAACACTCCTCAGAAGGCCAAGGAGGCCCTCTGAGAAGCCCCGCAGCCTTCTGAGAAGGCCTTCTCCTTCTCATTCCCCCCCTCGCTCGCCGACGACTGCATGCTGAGGTCGGGCCTGTCACCCTACAGGAGGACTCTGGGCGACAAATGAAAAGTACCCCAAACATGCTCCCACAATGTCAAAAATAGTCAAAACATCGTCCCCAACCTATGTTTTGACTATTGCTGAGTATCCCTCCTCTGTGGAGGGACAGGCCCGACTCAACTGCGTGCCATGAGTGGCCTCTGGGGCGCGGCTTGCCGATCGCTGTGTGAGATGCGGCGGCAGCGGCCTTCGTGCCTGGGCCAGGGCCCCCCCCCCGCCGAGAGCCGCTCACCAAAGCTGAGGTCGCTCTGGCGAGAGGTCACTCCTGCGCGTCGAGGCTGGTTTGGGGGGGGGGGCTGGCTCATCGGGGGCGTCCGAGCGGGGGCGTCCAAGATTCGGGGTCCCAAAGCATGGGCCGAGGCACGTGCGCGGCACCGGGAGGAAGCCAGGGGCGTCATGGCACGAGAAGGAGGGCGCCAGGGAGATAGTATGGCCCTGGCCATGATATCCACTCCCCCCCCGTGTCACCCCCCCCCCCCCTTGGCCGGCGCCGACTCAGGGCGGGGCCGTCGTCGGCACGGGATCGACGATGCGTCGCCGACAGATCGGCGACTGGCCCGCGACAGAGAAGCCGCACGGTCCCTGGCGGGTTGGGCCGGCAGGCCCCTGTCGGCGATCGGTGGGCGACAGGGGAGTCGCTGTGCTCCCCCCCCCCTGACGTTGCCCCTGAGGACGGCGAGGGGCTGGCATCACTCGCGGGCTGGTAGAGGTGGCCCGCCAGGACTGGTGCACCGTCGGGGCCTCGCGCTGCTGCCGATGGGGGGCAGGAGCAGCGAGGGGGGGGGGGGGGCGAGGGTTTTGCGTCGCCGTGGCACCGCAAGTGCCGCCAAGAGAAAAACGGGTCCCCCGCTAATCTACCGTTTACGATCAAGCGACCGCGCAGGACAGCAAGAAGCAAGGAGCGGAATGATCGGGAACCCAACGCGGCGACAGCAAATCACGATGCTGTGAAAGAGCACTACACACACTGAACTCCCCACACATCCTTGATACAGTCGGGGCGTTGACTTAAGGAACCCTACATAAGGAACGAGGCCCCGTGGTCCTATAAGTTAAGCTTTGATCTCGTATGGAAAACAGAAGGAAAACCCAAGGCAAACTGTACAACAATCCAGGAACACCGAGCCCCTCCCCAACGAACAGGGTCTCTTCTGCAGCGCCCCGACTGTAGTGCGTTCTATATTCCTGGCGACATCGCGTCACGTACGGGGCGTGGGGCAGCCAGGGAGAGCGCGACGCCCCCCTGGGCGCGCTGGGGGTGCGTTGCTGCCCCCCCTCCCTCCCGCAGCGGCCGCTGGGCGAAGGCCGGGGGGCACGGGCGCGCCATCCTCTGAGAGCTCCCCGTCATCCAGCAGTCTTCTGGACATCGGCCGCGCCCTGCTGTGGGGGTGAGCAGGAGGGAGGACCAGGATGGAGGAGGAGGAGGAGGAGGAGGAAGAGGAGGAGGAGCAGAGGGACTGTAGTCAGGATCAGGACGAGGAGCAGGAGGAGGAACATGATCAGTATCAGAGGAACCCGCAGGAGGAGGTGGCGGAGGAGAAGCAGGACGAGCAAGGCCAAGAGCCAGATTGGCCGCAGGAGGAACAGCAACAACAGAAGAGAGATCCTCGTCGGGTGGAGCAGGAGGGAAGGGGGACCAGGGAGGACACGGATCAGGAGCATGAGGAGAAATTTTCGCAAGTCCAAGCGGCAGTACACAAACCGTGGCGCTCAGAGAGAGCGGGCCAACGTGCCCTGGCTTTTCTGGCCAGCGCTCGCACACGTGCCACACAGGGGCAACAGGCGCAGGCTGGGACCCGACCTTCAGCACACAAGGGTAACAGGCGCAGGCTGGGACCCGACCTTCAACTTATTGTCCTGGCTAACTCTCAATCGCGCCAGCAACGCTGTGCCGTAGGGAGGAACCTCTGAGAAAAAAACAACAACGAAAACAGTGGCGCATGGAGTTTCCGGATCGGCACCCCTGGGGCGAAGACGCCGAGCGTTGCCAGGCGCCTGAACCCCGCCAAGCACGGCGACGGTGTGCCCGTGGCGGAGGGCGCTGCGAGCAAGATGGTTGCAGGCCGAGTGCCGCGGGCCTACCCACCTCTGTTGCGTCATCGGCGGTGCACCTCGTAGGTCGCCGAGACTGGCACCCGCACCCTGAGGCGCTGCTGAGACCAGGTGGAGCTGTCCAGCAGCACCGCAGCACCCCGCGCTGCCCCTTCCATCTCCCAGCAGAGGCGGACGGGCCACACCCAGCGGCCCCCCTGGAGGTGCCACGGGGCGCCCAAGCTGCAAAGATTGGCCGCGGCAGCAGGGACTTTAAACATACCGTACCCTGGCCTGGCGAGCCTGATGAGAAGGATCGGGAGGGGCCTCAGGAGGCTGAGGAGGGGGGGGCCGCAGGAGGAGGATGACGAAGATCAGGAGCAAGAGGCGGGTGGGGGATTCACCAACTACCCCGTGGGGGAGCCGAGCAAGCCCGTCGTCCTCCCCCTCCCCCTCCCCCTAGTCGTCGCCCCCGTTCCCTAAGGGCTCGGCGACTCTTCTCCAATCGCCTTCCGGGGATCAAACCAAATCAATCTGCCGACCCTGTCGGCGTGTGTGTGTGGGGGGGGCTTGTCTGTTCGAGCCGTCGTCTCCGTCAGTCGTCGTCGTCGTCGTCGCTTCTGTCGTCCCCTCTCCCTGCACCCTCCTCCTCAAGCTTGTCAGCGAGAGGAAGCATGTAGCCATGACGTGGTGGGGGAGTCCTGGGGGGTAGAAGGGAGTGGTCCCGGGGCCTCAGAAAGTACCAAGACTGGCCATGAGTGCCCCAAAATCGGTCCGAAAAGCCTTCACGCCCTCCAGACTGCCCAGGAGGCCTCCAAGACGCCCCAAGAAGCCTCCAAGAGCACTCCCGAGAAGGGCCCACGAGGCAAAATTCATTGATTTCCCTTTGTTCATATGATTGGGGCGTTCTCGCCGTTTCCGCTCCCTGCCGCGCCAAGAGGGCCCCCAAGATCGCCCTAAGACGGCACAAGAGGCCTCCAAGAGGGCCCCAAAACATCCCAAGATAATTCAAGACACCCCACAACGCCTCCACGACGGCCCAAGAGGCCCCCAAGACGGCTCCAATAGCGTGTCCAGACGGGGAAACCCAACGGACATTTCGAGCCTTCGGCCCCCAGAGGCTCCCAGGAGGCCCCAAGAAGTTCCCAAGAGGCGACAGGAGGCCTACAAGAGGTCCCCAGGACGCCCGAAGAGGCCCCCAAGCGGCTCCCAAGAGGCCCCCACGAGGCTTCTTAGAGGCCCCAGAATTCCCCCCAAGAGGCCCCCGAGCGCCTTCCGAAAATACTCCCAGAAGCATCCCTGAGGACTCTGCCACGCGTCAGCGTCGTTGTCGTCGCCGCGGCCGCCGCTGTCGTCGTCGTCCCCTTCAGGGTCGGCGGCACCGGCAGTAAGGTCTTCGCAATCGAGGTGTGTTCACACACGTCGCATAATTCGACGCAAGCCTTCGCAACATCTAGGCGCAGCTAGAGATAACCAGGCAAGCCTGCAGGAATCCTGGCAACTCCGACGCGAACCAAGGCACAATATGAGTCGTCAACGAAGCCGCGAAAAGCTGTTAGCGAATCGTCGTTTCCTTCGTCGTCGTACTCAAAAACCTTCTCTTACGAATGGGATCGTTAACGGTGGACTCGCTCGAAGAGGAACGCGTCGACCTGGACTCGACTCAGGAGGATACATCGCCGAGTAATCGGAGATAGGCTCCCGATGGCGAAACCGCACGTTCCTGGGCGGGGTGGGCTATCGGGCCCCCATCGGCGATCAGTGCGCGATTGGGGTCGATGCGTCTCCCTTGAGCCCATCCCCATAATCTGTTGCCCCCGAGTCGTCCTGCTCCTCCTTCTCCTCCTCCTCCTCCTCGATCCGCTGCTGGCGACGACGAGAAGGACGATGGCGCACGTGAGGAGGACGAGGATGCCGAGGCCACGGGCGGGGGGCGGCCGAGGAGCGAAACGCTGCCCCGCCGTCGCGCCCCTTCCCCCAACCTTTCCGCCCCCTCCTCGGAGGGGGCCCCCCCCGCCTCCTCCTCCTGCTCCTGCTCCGTTCATACCCCTCCTCCTCCCCCATCCCTTCTCTCTGCCTCCTCCCCTCCCTTCCTCCCTTCCCCCTCCCCTCGGGGCCCTCGGGTCCAAGGGGGGCCCCGAAGCGAGCGGACCGCGCGCGGCCGAGCGCGACCCGAGCGCGCCCCGCGTCGCTCAGCCTCCTCTGCCTCCCTCCGCCGCCGCCGCTCCTCCGCGCCCTGTGCTTCCGCCTCCTCGTCCTCCTCCTCCTCCCCCTCCTACTCCTCTTCCTGGGCGCTCCCCGCCCTGGGCCCTTACGCCTCCTCCTCCTCCTCCTCCTCCTCCTCCTCCTACTCCTCCTACCCCTCTTCCTTGTCCTCCTCTTCCTTGTCCTCCTCTTCCTTGTCCTCCTCCACCTCCCCTGGCCCGTCCACGCCGGCGCCGGCGCCCCTCCTCAGGACCCTCGGCCTCTT